AAATGGAGGGGCACAGCTCTACATGGAGGGGCACAGCTCTACATGGAGACCATAGCATCCACTCCACAAGGAAGGGGTGAATGAACATGGGTTGTGATGTCTGTAACTCTGTTGGTACCGTGCTTGCCTAACAGATGCAAAGCCCTCGGCTTGATCCCCAGAACAAAAATAAAAATAGAGTTGAAGGCATTTGAGGCCTGTGAAATGTGTCTCAAAAAGAGGTTGGGGGATGGGGTGGATCCCTAGCCCAAGGAAGACAAGGCAGAGAAATGCCTCTGGTCTTGCCTTCCCTTGCTGTATTGCACTTTGTAATATGAATTTCTTAGATGACTGAGTGTCACTGTGTATTTTGTGGACATGTATAATGTATTCTTTGGAGTTTCTAGCACTTTCAACTGTAGTGGTTAGGGTGGGGCAGGTCTAGGGTAATTGCTACAATAATAAAGAAGGATTTTTTTTTTTAAAATCTCCTATGGTCCTGTTCTATTGTTACCTAACATAACAATAATGAACCAGTCATAGTGAACAAGACACTGTGGGCCACTCAAACATCTGAGGTGTGGTAAAATCCTAAATCATCCTTTGTGCTTCCTTCTTAATGCACCATCCTGCCTAGAGGACATTTTTGTCTCTCCCATACTAACACTAGAAATCAAGTGGCTGATTGTTAAGCAAAACTCTCAGGCAGGCCTTTCTGCGCCACACCTTAGCCTAATCATCTTGATGACGGCGGTACTGAAATGCACTCTGACGCCACGATCGTCACACCACCCCTTGACGGGCTGACACAAACTGGCCAAGAATCCCCAAAATCATCTACCTTCTTTCTAAGTAATGTTTTTACTCTTAGGGGAACTTTTGACTCAAAGCCTGGGGTCACTCAAAGGACAACAGCACCCAGGGTACTGAATGCAACTGGAGATATAACTGTCTTACTTGGGGGTCCTAACAATGCAATTTCAGTCCCAGGAGTAAGACAGTTCTCTTTGGTGGACTTGTCCTGAGATTGATGCAGCAGATAAGGGGTCTAGACTACGCTGGAAAGATGATGTCCATGCAGAGGAGGGGACACCAGGAGTGACAGCCAGAGGCAAGACTGTCCTGATCAACATAACTAGGGACTGAAGGACAGAGATGGTGTGGTCACAGGGATGCTGGTGTGCTCTCGGGAGGAGAATGTTCTTTCGGAACATTACATTACAAACACCTGGGGCTCTGGTGTTTCCACTGGTAGGGCCTGAGCCAAAGCCAGGACTTGGTATCACTTTTGTCCTCCGGTTTTCTTAGTGTGGCCAACCCTCTTCAAACTGGTGATGATCTGAGCAACCTCCGTATGAGCCACAAAAGCCTCTTCATCCCCCCTCCGCCTCTCTCTCTGTGTCTCTCTGTCTCTCCCTCCTACCTCTTCACACGGCTAATGGCTAGAGATCATTAAAGTGTTTTTCCTACAGGCAAGATCCTTGTAAAAGTGAACCCAGAATCTACTCTTCTGCCGCTGTACGCTCTGAACCTCTTTGTATTCTGTTCCTGTCAGCATCCTGGCCCAACTAAATGAAAGTGTCCTTGTCAAGGGAAGTCTCATAGCCCAAGACGTCAGTGGGAAGACGTGCTCCCTCTGGCGGAACCGGTTCAGTGGACAAGGGTGACGGAGCTGAAACAGGAGATGGCGAGAGTCAGGAAACCCTGGATCTGAGAGCTGGCTTCGTCATTTGCTGTATGGTTTGGGTCAAATCTGCCAAATTGATTGATTTAACTTCTCAATCTGGAGAAATTATTTTCCCTCTGTTGCACTGTCGAGAGAAGGCCGGGGGCCAGTTTGCGATGTACTTTGGAAGTCAAAAGTCCCTATGCACACAGCCCTGCCCTTACATGCCAGGCTACCAGTTCTTCTGCACACTGCACTCAGATGTCCAAAACAAACGCAGCGTCTTATTTTTGATGACTGACCCAGTCTTCCCCAGAGGTCCTCATCCCTCTGCAAGGGACACCAACAATGGCCCCTACCGTACTGATGCCAACATACTTGTTGAGATTCAAGATGCCTTACCCACTTACTCACGCCTCATCCTATGAAGTGGGTGGCAACAGAACCTCCTACTTGTAAAAGTGAAAACAGATTTGAAATATGCTAGCTAGTGATTTCCAGTCTCTGACTAATCCAACAGTTTCATGTCAATTTAAAGCAGCCACGCACACAAACACCAAAATCTTTAGCCTTTTCTCCCTCCAGCTGTCCAGTATGAACTATGGATACCATGGGTCGGGGTGAGGGATGACTCAGATAGTCTATGTCCATGACCTTGAGTTGATCTCCCTCTTCTCGGTCCTCTAGAGGACCTTTAGGATATGGTGGCCCCTGTCTATCGAACCTTGCTGGTGTGTGTCAAAGAGGCTGCCGTGGCTCATAGCCAGCTACTCTACGTCCCCCCTGGTCTGACTCAGACTCACCCACTTCTTACTGGTACTCAAGGGCTCCCTGGGACCGACTGAGAACACTCTGTCTCTCCACTGTGGTGACATCTAACACAAGATCACTATCCAGCTCCACTCTTGGATATGTTCCAAACAACATGAGAGGACTCTGCCCAAAGGTAGCATCCCACCCAGGCCAGCCATACACACCTATTGCATACATGTAACGAGTCTTTCTCTGTCCCGCCAGTCAGCTCCCAAATAACTACATAGAAACTTATTATTAATTACGAAAGCTCGGCCGATAGCTTAGGCTTCTTTCTAACTAACTCTTATAACTTAAATGAACCAAACTTCTCTTCACTTTCAGGCTGCCGCGTGGCTTGTGGCTTGTTACATCATCTCCTTCAGGTCATGCCTCCACTGCATCTCCTCGCGACTCCACCTTCTTTTTCGCGGCACTCTCTCTGCTCCAAAAATCCTGCCTACCTATTGGCCATTAACCTCTTTCAAGGATGCATCTTTCACACAGTGTAAAGGAATATTCCATAACATATACAAGCTAGAGTTTAGGGTTTGGGGATCAGAGAACAAAGCATAGGCCCTGCTGCCCTAAGAGAGTTGACATTCCAAAAACCCTGTGGCATTGGAGGGGTGACCCTTTCAGGGGTCTCCTCCCAAGGTCCACTCATCATCTCGGTCTCTCTCTCAATCTGTTGTGTATCCTCCCCTAGGGAAGGAACCCCAGGGAAGCTCTTTGTGATGGAAAAGGCCCTCTCTTCTCATCAAGCCTAACCTGGAAGCCTACTGTTCTGATAACTGATAACAAGGCAAAGAAAGCAAACTGTGAGACTCCAAGTCAAACAGGAGGCAATGATTGACCTCTTGTTCTGGGGGTTCTACCCTGGCTTCAGCTAGTCTCAGGGTTCAGGGTTGGAGTTAGAACATTAACAGAGAACAAAAGATTTAATTTAAAAAACTTCAACTCTGTACAACTAGTACAACTAGTACTTAAACTCTGTACAACTAGTCAGGACAGAAACAAACGAGACGACGGATTCAGCATATTTGGAAAGGCTGTCGCTTTTAATGTGCTCTTGTAGCTTTCAGTAGACTTGTTCACAGCAACAACACTGTAACGGTTTGAATAGGAAATGTCTCCCACAGGCTCATATATCAGGGACTTGACTGTAAGCTGATGAGCTCTGGGGTGGCAGTTAGATCGTGGGGGATTTGACCTAACGGGTGGATGAACTCCCCCCGTAGATTCACAATATGATAGTATTATTGAGAGGTGGTGGACAGTAGGAAGTGGGCTCTGGCTGGGGAAATTGGTCATTAGGGGTACATCCTTGGAAGCTATGTCTTGTCCTGCCCCCTTCCTGTATCCCCCTCTGCTTCCTGCCATACAACCTTGCTGCCATGAGGTTATTATTCATATGGACTCAAAATTTTGTTCATTTTGAGGACTGTTGAGTGAAATCTCTGAAACTGTGAGCCGAAATGAGTGACCTTCCATTTACACTGTTCTCTCCGGTAATTTGCTCACAGTAATGTAAATCAACTAACACAGACGCCCAGTGAGACTTTTATTTAATGAGCAATTGTTTACTAGAGAACACACCCCACATGACTCGTGCCAAGGAATCCAGTCTGCAGGCCCGAGAGGGCAACTTACCCACACACCCACAAAACTGTCTTCAGACTGTCTTCAGCACAGAGGAGTATGCCCAGGGGCTCTTCTTGCTGTGGAGGGCAGCGAGGAGTAGGAGCTCAAACAAAACTCAAGCCTGGCCTAGAGAGAGGAGTGTGGAGTAAGACTGTTTGGGACTCCTCCTGGAAGAGCAGCAGATTGAGATAAGCAAGGGAAAAGGAGGCAGAGGGCAGGAGAAGCAGCAGGCATGGGCAGGACGGCAGGAACGGGCACGCTCAGGGCTAACAGAAAGGCCAGGGTAACCCAGGTAGAACAGCAGGACTTGAAGCCAAGTAAGAAAGAGGCGCTTATGAAAGGCCTAGAAACCAAAGAGAAGAGCTAGGCTTTGAACTGGGTTTTCATGGTTTTTTTTTTTCTCCTTAAGTTTATAAATAGAACCAAATATCGTCAAACACAAGTTCATTTCCTACCGATGCTGGTAGAAGTCTAACTTCATTGGTGGGCAGCTCTCCTCCTCGTGGTAATTCAAGAACCCAGGAACTTTTATCTCCGAGGCTAAACCTCAGCACCTTTGGTGTCTGCCTGGAGCTGATGCTACTCGGGAGCGAGACATTTCTTTAACATCCTGATGCCTGGAACTCAGGATATCTGCTACAGCTCAATACACAGAAGATGAGGGACCATCAGCCGGCCATGTGACAAGGGAGGAGAGAGAAATTCTTAGAAGGCTGGGAGCGCATATCTGCTCACATGAAAACCTCTACGGAGATGCCGTGGCAGATCTCAACCCTCGCTCCATCACCTCATCGTCCCAGCACAAATAGGGAAGTTAGGGCAAGATGACTGACTACCAGCTGCAAGCTGACAGCGTGGATGGGGGCCACTCGTCGTGCATGAAGCAAAATGGCAGCTGACGGCAGCAGAATGTAGAAGAAGATGCTGCGGTAAGAACGGTAGAACTGGAGGGAGGGACCAGTCTCAGGAAAAGAACAACAGCAACAAAAGATGCTTGGGTACTTTATTAGTTGCAAGGTCATTGCAGGGTCAGTGAAAGAGGCACTGACAACCAGCTCTAGACTGAGGGAGTCTGTCTGCAGAAGGAAGGGAGAGCGAGGTGCCACCTTTGTCTTGTAAAACAGATAAACTTCTTGTAAAAGGATGAATGCCTGTGAAGGAGATTCACTGTAAGTGATCTCAACGCTCTTGGAGTGACTGTGACCTCGAGCTGTAGGACGACGCCCCACTGCCCTCAGAGAAGTTGAGAGGACTTTCGGCCACAGCTCTTGGGGGTCGACACAGAATAAACTAGCATTGTCCTCCCTTCAGATTGGCCTTGAGCATTTTAGATACCAGGAAGCCAACACTGTTGTCTATAGATGTTTCGGAGACTCGGCTCCTTCTTTTCCATGAAATCTAGTGCCGCTTCCTCTACCTGCGTTTAGCGCCGAGTCTCCATTTCGTAGATGTCAGTCGTAAACGTCAAGGGTCTTTCAGGAATCTAAATACTCCACAGTTCACTCTTGGACTCCATTTGACAAACGGCCCCACTGAATGGTGGGTCTTATTGCTGTCAGGTATCCTTGCCACACCCGAGTCCCCGCCCACAGCCCTATACACACAGTCCCTCCCAGAAAGGGCATCTCTCTCCCCTGGGTTTGGTGACTAATGTTTGATTCAGATGTGCTCCTCATCCGCGTGTCATTTTTTCCTAACAGCACATCCACACGGTCTTTTCTCTCCCCACATCAACCTGGGGAGATGACTCATCCGCCGTTCGCTATGGCCCCAGCTCCTCTCACCTCCTCACGCTCCCCCCACAAGATTGTCTGAGCTGGAATGAGCAACAGAAAGGCAGCTCATCTCAAGAATAATAGAGCGCCAAGCCAAAGATCTGGTAAAGAGAGGCTCAGACTGTAGGCAGGATGAGGGGATGGGAGGTGGGGCCAGTGAGGAGAAGTGGTCAGTAAGGGAGAATGTATGAGAAAAGTCAAGGCTGGGGGCTGCCACAACCCGGCTAAACCCCGAGTCCACGAAGTACTCTGGACCTCCCTCAATCCTAGCTAGGGCCTTCCCATGATACCCGCAGCTCCCTAGTAGGCTCAGTTCCATGATTCATCAAGTGTATTCCCACGGTGGCTCCGAGGACTAGAACAAAGAGCAAGTCAAAGTGCAGCTCTGTAGGATGACTTGGCTGCAGAAATCACACAAAGGTGACTTAGGAGTCACAGTCACAGGAGAGATTTATGGGCTGCCAGGGATCTGGTATGACCTGCCCTACAGAAGCGCTCACCGCCCGGGGGTACACCAGCTCACCAGGCTAAAAGGTGGAGAGGCCTTGCAGCTCACCAGCCTGGCTCTCGCTAGACTTCTCCATGGTGCAAAGACTGTATTTGAAATGCAGGGACCAAAGATTTTCTTCAACAGAGGAAATAATTGAGCAGGTTTGAGGTGAATTGCATACCCGCCCTGTGTTAGAAAACAAACAAACAAATAACCATACTCTCCTGACAGAGCTGGAAGGAATGTTGGAGATAAAAGAACAGGCTTCATACTAATTAGTAGTGACAGGTTTATAAACACAGCTTCTACTTCTCAGTTCTCTTCCTGATCCCCTGGATCCCACCTTCTGCCAGAGAATTAAAACGGGACATGTTGGCCAGGAAACTTCTAAACTGAGGATGGGAAAAAGATGTGGCTAATGTTGTCCGATAGTCAGCGCAGGTGACCACTGGCTTGCAGGGAAGCAGGCTGTTCTTGTTTCCCACCGGCTGCAAGCAAACCTACCCATGTCCATACTTCCTTTGCGAGTACGCCTCCTATTCAGATCCCTTCGCATCCCTGGTACCAAGCAGCGTCTCCTAAATACAAAGAGCCGCTAAGATGTACCCAGAGGGAGGAAAATCAGTGAAGCCCTTTCCATGTGACTAACTTCCTTCCTGCTACCCCTTGGAAATCCCTCCATTGCCTCTTCCCCATTGCTTTCACTCTTAGAGGAAAGGCTACGGAATGAGCTACTGCATCAGACAGCATCATTTGAATACAACGTACGTCACCACTGGCTGCTCCGTGGGGTCAAGTAGGTTCATCTCTGGCTCAATATCTCCCTTTACAAATTGAAATGGATGGTGTTCATCGCTTGGAAGCTTTTTGAGAAATAAATGAAATAGCACATAAATGGTCCCGAATCTGTTAACACAGAGGTGGAGCTCAATAAATCCCCATTCTTTTGTCTGACTGCCTCTGCTCCATCTATTCTGGTTTTTGTTTTTAGCCACAGTGTCAGAATTGATTGTGTCTTTCCAACTCTCACTGTTCTAGCTCCCACAGACATTCACCATATGGACTGGGGCACCCTGTGTGTGTCTACTTCCTGGCCAGCCTCATTTCAAAAAGCCCAGGGACTCACAGCTTCCATGTTTCTCTCCAAAATGGCAAGGGTCCAAACAAAATCATACTAAATCACCATTTCTACCGCTGGATGCTTTCATTGACAAGGCCTAATAGAGAAAAAGTGGAGGAAGCGGCCTTGGCTGAATCCTATGTCCATCTCAAACATCAGCAATGTTCCTAAGAACAGTCAGAAAGGCTCTGAAGCTGCCTGGGGACTTGAGGGAACATGGTAAGTCCCTCTAATAATGTACCAGGTTGTGATTTCCAGGGATGGCTGAAGCAGGGCCTCACATCCTACCCACTCTTTCAATGGAGTAAATTTTGCATCCTTCATCAAGAGGTGACCTGTCCTCAGGGGGGAATGAGCAAGACAAGCCGATACCAAGATGAGGCAGAAAGAGAGAGATTAGTCAGAGGGTAACAGATTCCTCGGAGTTCATTCCTTTGTTTCTTAGTGGTTTTTCACATTTAAGAGACCAACAAGAAGGGTGAGGTGCTTGACCCTAGGGACACAATGGAATTAGAGTAGGCGGTAGTCTAATAAAAAAAAATGGGGACACCGGCAGACTTGCTTGTTTTCTGCAGAAGGCTTGAGACTATGGCAGCCATGATGCTCTGTGACTTCCAAGGTTAAGTCAACAAAGGTGCCATAGCTTCTACCGAGTTGGTTTTTTTACAACTGCTGTCTTTACTGTTACAGCATGGAGAAGCTGTGGATTTCACAGTCCAAGAAGGCTAGAGGCAGGCTAGGTCCCAGGGTAGTGTCCCTGAGAGGAGAGGCTGAGCCTTCCCGTGCTCACTCTCACCTCCTACAGTCTAGCCCCTTCCCTAGTGGCAGTCGGGTCGGCCTCCAGGTCACCTGACCACATCCTCTAGGAGACACAATACTGAATAACTGAGAAGTGAACCATACACTTGGACAATGCTCCTGTCATTGCCTCCCTTAGTGGCAGTTGCCCTGCAGCAGGGAGAATGTTGTCCTGATGCCAGGCCCACCCACTCGTACTCTCAAGAATCCCGGTCACCTGAGAGACAGAGAAGAACCTCTGTCCTTGGTCTAACCCATGTTCACATCATAGACATCTGTCCCCGAGGAAAGGGGAGAGAGAATGGATCTTCATTGTAGACCAGCTTTTATGTCTCAACAGAACCCTGTGACATTCCAATCCAGAGAGACAAAGGCTGAGATGTGACAGAGGCAGAAATGAGGTCACTAGGCCAGCGTCTGCTGCTGGACTACTCTGAGCTCTGTACTGGGGAGGGGTCAAGGGGATCCTAGCCTACCACCAGGACACACACACAGCAATAAAGTCAGACCTACACGGTGGGTATACTCATTCTATCTAAACCACAACTGAGAAAAACGAGGTAGAAAGAGAGGCCGCTTACCAAGTACCCATGACTGGACAAGTTCAGACCCAAGATTTGTACTGGGCCTCCTCTTGGTCCTGTTGACCTTCAGTCCCTCCGGACAATGTCACAGAAGAGAGGGTCAGAGAATGCCTGAGATGCCACCTGTATCTGGTTCTCTTTCCAGCCAAACCCTGAAGAGCCCACAAGTACTTACTGAAGATGGGATTCCAGGTCTCTCCTTGGAGAATCTGATTTTCAAGGTCTGACAATGGGGATGCAGCTGGACTTTTCTTACTTTGAGACTCGAGGGTTTCAATGACTACACACTGCCTTCGTCCCATGATATTTCAGATGGAAGCAACTAGGAGGAGTTAAGAGATAGGCCAGAACTGCAAGAGACTCTGATTCTGTCAGCTCACCCCAACACCCACCTCCTATCCTATGAGCCCTTGCCAAAGGGGTCCTACAGGAGGAGCTCTGTGAACATTCCTTTCCCAGTACTGGCTCTGGGGTAAAGCTGAAACCCAATGTTTAAATCCATCCATTTGCTGTCTACGTGGTCCAAGGTCTACTGAGTCCACAGGTGTAGGCTGTGGACACGCAGGTCAGCACCACATCTGTGATGTCAAGCACTCTAGGAGACACATCTCTCCACCATCTTGCTTCACCACAATTCTGAAGTTCACCGGATTTGATTTGCTCATGGGGCATCCAAGAAGGGACTACATTTCAGAAGGCTTGCTCGGAAATAATAGAATGCTGACACAGCAGAGAGAACCTTCGCCCTTCGACAATTTCATACTTTGAAGCACTGGCTTTAAAGATCAGAGGATAGCACGCTTCAATAGCGAAGCCAGGCAAGAAGATGCAAGTGTGACGTCTGAGTGTCCCGGGGGAAGTGGAAGCGGACAGAAACTGGGTTTCCGTGGTAGGGAGGGCAGAGAGAAGCTACCAAGGACAGACTTTGTCTCTCGCAGCACCTGGGCCTTGCCTAGCAGGAACCACCTCTCCTCACCCCAGCTGCAGAGCCAAAAGGGGCATCTATAGACTGCTGCAACTTGGATCTTCAGCGTCCCCCGAGGTTCATGTGTTAAAGGCTTGGGCACAGGCTTGGCACTGTTAGAAGTTGGTGGAGCCCAGTGGGAGGTCTTAAGTCATTAGAGGAAAGCCCTAGAAGCAGATATTGGGGTTTCAGATCCTTTTCCTTCTCTCTGTTGTAGCCCAGACTTGAGGTGAAGAGTCTTGTCACCTTCTCCCACCATTGTGCTCTGTCACAGGTCCCATGGGTCCCCGAGAGAAACCCGTAAAATTGTGAGCCAAAAGGAACCTTTATTCTCTATAAGCTGGCTGCCTCAGATGTTCATGAGCCCTGACCATCACACATACAACACACTTAGGCCGCCACTGGTCCCTCTGATGCTGATCAGAGAAGACGGGGAACACTGAATGATGGGACCCAGCACACCAGCCAGCACTGGGAAACGGAATCTGAAGGCTAATGCCCAAGAGAAAGGGAACGCTTGGGATCTTATTAGGAACGGTAGCGGCAACATAGATGTAGTTAACTTGGTGCTTATTGATTCTCTAGAAATGAATCCCCTTGGGCATGATAGTGCTGATGTATCTCACATAGACTTCTCTGCTACAGTGGCTAATACTGGGGATTTCCTTGAAGAACATTCAGCCTTGGAGACAGGCCAGCTTCAGAGGTTGTTTTATGTTGTTTCTGGTGCAAACCTTGAAGGCAATTCCATTCAGCCTTCCATGCCTCACACTCAGATGGTAGTGACCCAGTGACCCAGTGACCCCAGTGCAGGCTTGGTTATTTGGCTTTGGGGGGGGGGCCTTTTTCCTTATAAGCACTCAACGTTAATGTTCCAGAGTCATAGTCTCCCACCCTCTGTAAAGAATGGGGAGAGGAAATCCAGTCAGCATGCCTTTATTTTCATTTCTCTGCTTAAGGAAAAACAAAACAAAACAACAAAACCCTAGCGTGTGCACCTCTGAAGATGACATCATGCTGAACCTCGGAATGGAATTCTTTCTATCCTCTGCGGTAAAAGTTTAAAGGATACCCTGCTTAAAGGATGGTAGATCGCATCACTTCCAAAGATGTCCCCCGAGATTTGGACTAATAGCCTACCAGCCTCATCTTTATCCAAACTCTAGGATGGCAAAGACGGAGGTGACTTAAAGAGTCATGTCACCCAGAGGACCAAACCACGATGCTCACAGAGGCAGATAAAGCAATAAGTGATTCAACCCAGATGGGGACTCTTGTGACTCAGAGTTTGCAGTTCATCCGAGAAATACCATTCAAACGGCTTAAGACTTTGTGCAGTTGAACTCCAAATCCCTAGGCTTTTCCTCCCAAGTCAAGTGAGTTCATTTCCTTGAGCCTCCATAACACATGGCCTCCAATTTGGTGGCTGAAAGCAATGAAAATTGATTCTTTCCTAGTTCTAGAGGTCAAAGGTCCAAGCTCAAAGAAGGCAATGGGAGCCGGGCGGTGGTGGCGCACGCCTTTAATCCCAGCACTTGGGAGGCAGAAGCAGGTGGATCTCTGTGAGTTCGAGGCCAGCCTGGTCTACAAGAGCTAGTTCCAGGACAGGTACCAAAAACTACAGAGAAACCCTGTCTCAAAAATCAAAAAAAAAAAAAAAAAACAAAACAAAAACAAAAAATCAAAGAAGGCAATGGGGCCATGGCTCCCCGGAAGGTTCAAAGGAAGACTCCTTCCTTGTCGCTTCCGATTTCAGATAGTTCTGTATTCTCTGTGGGCTGTGGTCAGGTCACTTCAGTCTCTGCTGCTGCCCCCATGTCACCTTCTGCCTGTCTTAGAAGGATGATTGTCATTCTCTGTAGGATTCACCTGCATAATCCAGAATGACCTCATCTGGTACCACTCTTGACTCTCTTTGCAATGCCCCCTCTTTCTGATTAAGGCCACATTAACTGATTAGGACATACGCAAACCATTTGAGGGTCAGCAGACAAACCGGTCCACTAGAACGGAGTGAGAAGTGAGCAAGGAACCACACTGCAGGTGGATCTCAGCAAAGTGACTTCTCTTTGTCTGATGTCTAAGGGGGACTCACATCAACGCTTGTTCTTTGCCTTTACAGGCTAAGACGCTCCTTAAGTCTTGGGGATAGGCAACTATCAGGAATTCTCGTTGCTTTAACCTGTTATAGTACTGACTCTTATTCCGTCTTTGAATGGAGTAGAAACTCATCCCTTTTTGATGGAGTTGAACCTCTTTCTGATTTTTTAAGCCCCTCCTCCTGTCCAGCTGTGTTCCTGGCTGTCATCTCTCCCCTCACGACATTCTGAATTCTGCAGATCCTTGATACCTCCTTCAGGATTCTCTAACGCCTGTCTCTCAAGCTTCTGTCTTCATCTGCACCAACCATCGGGAGGCCTTGTTCATCTGCACCAACCATCGGGAGGCCTTGTTCGAGCAGAGACCGCTGGGCTCCATGTTCAGTTTCTGATGCAGTAGACTTGGGAGTTGGGGCTAAAAGCTGACATTTTGATCTGAAGAGGTGATCATACAGTTGGTCCAGAGGCACAGTGAAAACCACCACTCTAACTCCATTCCTCATGCTCTCCAAGGGGACTTCTTACTGTTCTCCCATCACACCCGGCTCAGCTTCCACCTGTCTCTAGACCTCTGGAGGGCCACTTACCAGCTATCCTGCATATCATATATTTGCACTGTGATTCACAATAGTAGAAAAATTGCAGTTATGAAGTCATAAAATAACTTTATGGTTCGGGGTCACCACAGCATGAGGAACTGCATTAAAGGGTCCCAGCATCAGGAAGGTTGAGACCCACCGCTGGTTTAGTTCAGTCTTACATCTACAGATTCCCACCTACTCATTCCATCCCTTGAGGCCCATCTAAAACCTTTCCTCCTTTTCTCCACCCTCCTACTTCTCTAAATCAAAGCCAAGGACACCCAAATCACCAGGCTCACTCAGACACTCTCAGGAAACAGGAAAATCCAGTCCCGAGCTGGGGAAATGGTGGGTACAGTGACAAGCCTGACTTTAGTGGGAGAGTCCACTCGACTCCTAACGTGGGTAGTCTGGGGCTGGCTCCAGTGTGGCCACGGAGATTACAGAGAAAGCATCCAACCCCGTTTCCACCCACCAGAATGCCCATGCTCTCTCTGTCCTCACCAGCCCCACGTGCCCCCGTGTACAGCAACTCCCCTCAAGGGCGAGCCTCCAGATGCCAGCAGACCGTCTTCCCAGGACATTGAGCAACACTTGGTGAAGGATTTCCAGCATTCATGTGCTCCCCACCAGCCTGCAAGACATTTTCTCTAAGGAATTTCAACACACATAACTAGCGCTTTGTTCCACTGTGAATGAGGGCTTGTCTGGGTGCCAGGGTTGCACCACACGGGAGATTAACAAACAGGAGCTCAACCTCTTAGCGGGCGCAGTTCAGTCTCTATGATCTTTCTTAATACTATGCACAAATGTCAAGCCACTCTTAAAAAAAAAAAAACAACAAAAAAAAAACATGTGGGGAGGTTGTCGGGCCCATTCACAGACCTAATTAATGTAGATGATCTGACCTTGGAGATCCTCTTAATGTCAAGTGCCCATTGTCAATTTTGCTGAAGACAATTTGAGCGAAGGGTGGCAAAGAACTGTCGTCACCGCTCAGCTAATGGTGTGTTGATACTCAGGAGTTCCTCACACATTTCCCTGATGCCCTCAGACGTGGAAATTTCTTAAATAAGATGTCAAGTGGTTGTAGTAATCGTTCGCATAAAGCTCGTGTGTGCCAAGAGAACAATTGACTTCTATACGAATGGCTTGGGGAGTCAACTGGAAAGGAAAAGGCTAACCTAGTTCTGAGTTCACTGCACACAAAGACCCAGTTAAGGATGGTATAGAGGGCTTCCTTCTGTCACAGGCTTGCCCCGCATAGTGCCATGTGGTCCTAGACAGTTTTCATAAGATAATCTGCATTTGTTTTCTAAGGCTGTCATAAGAAACAACAACAACATAACATAAACAACAACCAAAGTATTTCCTCGGAATTCCAGAAATGAAAAGTCAAAAGTGGAGAAACAGGATTCCTGAGGCCTCTCTCCATGGCTTCATGACGGCTTCCTCCCCTTCATCCTCACACGGTCTCCCTTGTACTTACCTGTGCTCTAACCCTCTCTTCTCTTAGGGGCACTGGTTGTGCTGGGTCAACTATAGACACTTATTACATTGAGATTTCCTTTGTAAAGATGCTATACCTAAATATAGCTGCATCTAGTACTGAGGGTTAGGACTTCAGCCTACAAACAAATCGAGGATCCAGCTCAGCACATAGCAATATTCATGTAATCCATTGACCACATTTCCCTGAGTTTTAGACACATTCAGATTTTTCTTTTAACATTTGTGGAATCAGGCCCCATCTGACAGTAGTATTCCGTTTGATTTTCAGGCATTTTTCTTTGTTAGCATTCCAGAAAGTAACGAATAATGTTTGAGATTTAATAAATTACAATAATCCTCATATTTCCTCAATACTATATTAGATAATAATATCTTGATTCCTGTTTTATAAACTAGAAAGCTGAGGTAGACAGACTGGAGATAAGAGAGTCAAGTTTTACCACTATGTTGCTATAAATATCAATTATTATTGCTTATTGAGTAAACTCACAAGTGACATGTATGTACCTGAAGAACAGTGTCCTAAGCAAGTACTCCTAATGGCAGGGCCATCCCCACAGTAGTGTGCGACCCTGACACTTCCCTCATTATGGGCGTATATTTTCAGTCTAGCAAAACATAATGGAAGCTTACCCGCTTCTCGTCTCACTAATGTAGGATTCCCAGTTGTCTGCCAAGCATACACTTGGAAGGATAACTAGTCTCCTTGCTTGAACGACGCTTTGTCAAGTACAGGAAGAAGTCACTGTTGAGCGAATCACTTCCATAGCCAAATAAAAAGAAGTGGCTATAGGTAGAAAATAAGTCCATACCAAGGTATGGAACATTTGTGCAACAGGTGTTACTGGGGTGATATGAGGGAGGAGATGAGAGATTTGAGAGGGTGGACGTTGCTTCTGGCTGGGTGGTGTGGGGGTTAGCATGTAAGAGGTGGAGGCATTGAGCCCACTCAAATGTGTCTCTGCTTGCTTTTTGTTGGTGGTGCTGTTGTGGCTATAACGGAATTCCCAAGACTAGTTAACTTACAATAGGTAGTTATTTATTTAACTAGGGTGATTGTAAACCCCAGCTGGAGGGGTCACCTCCCTTTCTCCCTGACCCTTGCAGTCCTGGATACACCTGATACCCTGACAGCAGCATCCATTTTTACTCCACAAACAACCTCCTTCCTTCCATCCAATCTCCTGACTCTCTATCCAATTCCCGAAATTCTTTCTCAGCTCCCCCGACCCTCCACCCAGCACCAACCATGCCGGCATCCTGGAGTTTATCCAGGGATTTGTTGTAACCTTAGCTAAAGAATTCTGTGATGTTATATAGCCAGGACACTGTTGTGTCAAGCATGTCCATTTATCACGGCAGCCAAACAGAGAGGAGCGGCTACACATGGAAGAACCACTCCTTAGAAGTTTTCTAACCTGGTGCGGGAGAAATATCTGTATTCTGTCAATCATGTATTTTAATAAAATGCTGATTGGCCAGGCAGGAAGTAGAGGCAGGGCAATGAGAGTAGGAGAAGGCTAAGGAGGAGGAAGCTCCCTCCGCCATTCCTGCCCAGATCACCGAAGAAGCAACATGTGAGCTGCCCAGCTAGAAAAGGTACTAGAGCCATGTGTCTAACGTAGATAAGGATAATGGGGTAACATAAGTTATAAGAGCTAATGCTGACCTAATGGGCCAATCAGTTTTATAATTTTATGGAGTCCTGTGTGTGATTTTCTTTGTGGCTTGCCGGCTGTGGGGTACTAGGTGGGACAGATACCCCAACAAGTTGGCCCTCGTGTTACACTAACCTAAGTAGTCAGATTAAAAACGGGTTACTGACCAACTCAGATCCTTCACTGGCCCCCAAGAGCCAGCCAGTCTATACCTGCCATTTAGACACCATCGTGATATCTCTTCTCCTACTGCAGAAGAGGACAGTGTAGAGGGTGTGAGCATCAGAGATTACTCCAAACACAGAGCCATAATCCTACCTATGATAGCACGGTGCTCAGCACCCTACCGGGCATCCAGTGATAGTCAAGTAAGGGCCTACAGCACCGTAAGGCTCAAGGATAACACAGCTCGGTGTTTGCAACGACTATAAAGTAAGGCGCTAAGCCCACCCCTTACTACTGATCTTGCCGTTAAGTTCATTCCACTTTGGGAATCACATCCGCTTTTCTACTTACAGACACTTCATTGATACTCTTGTGTTCAGGACATTACTCCTCATGACTTCATCACTCTGTTCACTACCAAGAGATGACAGTGATCACCAAATAGCTTTCGGATGTGGAGAAAATGTGACCCGCTGCTTCAAGCTGCTGTTGCCTTGACTCCGCTGCTGTGATGCCTGGAACCGGGAGCTGAAATGAACCCTTTCTATTTCTGCTGGTTTGCCTCAGAGCAGTCTATCGCACATCAGGAAATGTAACTAAGACAGAAAGATCCGGACTGAGATAACAGAAGTAAGCTGGTCGTTGATTCCAAGCTGACAGTGTTTGTGGGGAGACACTCTTTCACCTCCGGAGAGACCTCACGGTCCACCAGGCAGGCTCCACTGGGTACAAAGGCTTTGTGGGGCAAATAGAGACCCTTTGATGGGTAGATGGGAAAGCATTGTCCCTGGAGGAGACTTGGTTCCAAGAGGAGACTAGGTAGCTGTGAGCATATGCCGCTGCCGCTGGTTGGGGATGCCAGAAACCCGACGGAAGAGTTTAGGAAGGAAGATGTGTGAACATACTAGCGAATATACTAGTAAACATACTAGTGAATACGGGGCAGCGTGGAAAGGAGAGGGCAGGAGACCAGGGGGACAAATGAGCCTGGGCTTCTTATGGCAGCTGAAGCAAGCAGAGTGGCTAATGAAACCAGTCCTGCTGGCCCATCGAGAAACATTGGTGATGAAGCTCTAAGTACAGAAACAGAGTTCAGCTAACTCCTGAACTCAGAGATGGTTCCCAAAGTCTTGGTGGAACTTTCAATTCCAAGTCACCCCTTGAGCTTCATATATAGTTGGGGAAAAAAAAAATCTAGAACAAGTTGTTAAAATCCCATTGCTGTGACAAAATAGCCAGGATAATCAGCTTAGAAGAAAGGTCCATCTGGGCTCACGGTTTCAGAGATTCCCCTTTGGTCTATGGGAAGGCAAGAGCATCGTAATATCACCTCTGCTCCCCTTGTGTCAATCAGAAAGCAAAGGAAGAAATGGGGGCCCCAGTCCTTCATCTCTTTAAGGTCATGACCTCCATTAGGCCCAGCTTCCAAAGATCCCGGTCTACCAATGGTGCCACAGGCTGTCAGCCAAGCTTTTGATAGAGTTTTTGTACGGCACTAAGGTTACAAACCCTGCACCAGTGTGGCTCTAAGACCTCCATGAAAGGTGGAATTTTGGTTTGAGCTTCATTTTGACTAATATAAAGGAAAATATCGAGTGTTGAAGATGGTAAGGAGAATGAACCCCTGTCAAAGCAGGCACAGAACTTACAAAG